TAACAAAGAAAAAGATTGCTAATGACCAGTCCCTGCCACAAAAGAAGAAGAGGCCACACGAAACCGCTTTATGGGCATTGCGGTTAGCACGTTCATGTACCCATTTTCAGGTCGCCACTCTTGCTAATTGTCAGAAGGCAAGAATGTCCGAACGACGGAAGCCGGTCCGTACAAAGATAAACTCAACATCTGCGGCAGCCATGTTGTTCAATGTGCCAAACAGGCAGTGATGAACTTGTAACGGCACACCAAAGCCCCCCTAAAAATCAAGAATGTGCAGCACCGGTTTCATACGACGGGAACGTTAGCCAGTTTTTTTGGGCCTCGGTGGTGTGCTCACTACTTCGAGATTTTCTGCCGACCAGTAGTTTTCATCCTTTGAGAGCAGCTGAAAGGCTGTAGGAAGCGTTGCATTTCTGCACCGTAAATGGTGCCAAGATTGCATGTAGCATTGCCGTTGACGTACATGGCATCCATGCATGTCGCCCGTGATCCCAGCTACCAGAACATGTTGTCGATGATTAGATGATACGTAGTGTGTGTGTGTGTGTGATCCAGACTGTGTTTTAGCAGTTGGGCACAGCGGGATGTGCAAACTTGCAAAGATCAGAAGTTTTGTCAATGTTATAGTTGCTTGCATTTTCGGTAAGTATTATTCGCATGCTTCCTGCGCTTCATGGAACGGTAAGCTAAGCCTCCGAAACCTTGAACAGCAACACTACAGTTTGTTGATCACGACTGTCATGATTCGATGTGCCATAATATACAAGGTACCATTGACCCAGTAGGAAATAGGAAAAAAGGGGCCTGCCATGCATTCCAGCTTCCGCGAGAAATGGCGCCCAAAAGCCGCTCGAAGAGCAATATGGGACGAACAACAAGCCAGAAGAAGTTGCCAAAGACTGCCCGAGCCTCAAGTTGTCAATCAAGCATGTGACAGTAAAGCGGCACTCGCCAGTGTCTGAAGGCAACAAATGTTAGCATTGCAGACAAGAAGCAGAACGACTTGAACTTTTTGGAGGAGGTCGCAAGCGGTTGTTGCCTGAACTGTGGCTTGCACATCGCACGGGCAGGTCGATGGAAGCATCGATCCGAGCAGCATACCTCGTGTGTTTCAGCTTCTCGGAGCTGGGTTAATGCAGGCACGAATGTGCTTACGCCTTGGTGTTCGTTGAGAGTTCTTTGCATGCCAGAACATGTCGACACGGAGTTTGTTCGAGCAGGGCGACCGTGCTTGCCTTCGAGCTGCTTGCAGCGCTGTTGAACGCATCTGTGAGGAAGCCCTTGTTTGTTGAGTGTCTGTATTTCTAAGTTACAGTGCACCTTGAGCATGGGAATGCCAGGCCAACGAGGGCTTTTTCAGCTTGCTCCAGGCTGATTGTGCATCATACTGCAATCGCATGAAACTCCAACCGCACGTGAAGTGTTTCGCTCGTCCACATGTTGTGGCGGTGTAATGTGCTTTGTGCGTCCATGAACCGCTAAATTCGATATCTGTCGTTGAAACTCTATGAAGGCATTTGTGCTCAAGTCCACGGAACTTAGTCATGGCAGCCAAGAAGAAAGTTCTTCTTCCTTCCGACGTGGGGTCCACGGTGCACAGTCCTCGCTGTTGACAGCGAGTGTAGGATGCTGCTGCGATTCCAAGTGTCTGCTGCACTCCACGCACTGCCTGCAAGTCCATCGTTTGCTTTGCCAATGCTGAGGTGCTGCCTGAAGAGTATGACCTCACATTGGAACCAGATCTCGAGCAGTTTACATTCGATGGTATTGTCAAAATCACTTGCGACGTCCATGTGGCGACTGACTCTGTGAGCGTGCATGCCATGGATCTTGTTCTGTCACAAGCTGTTTTCAAGCCTCATGGCTCCAGCACCGTCATCAAAGCAGATGAGATTTCAACAAAGGCACATTCCCTCAGACTCAATAGTTCATGTCTGGCAAAACAGCATGAAGCAGTAAGTGCACCGATGTTTGAACTTGTCAAGGCCAAGATGAAGACAGCGACTTTGGGATTTGATGAAGTCCTTCCCGTTGGCAAGGGTGTGCTGGAAATCAAGTTTCGGGGCATCTTGAACGACCAAATGGCCGGCTTCTACCGCTCACAGTATACAGAGCCTTTGTGGCGGCTGATGGATGGTTTCAGCTTTTCATTCGGCTTTGCCTTGATGTCAAGGGGCTGTAGACTTTAGACGAAGAGCATTAGTCCCGAGGACTCTTGTGGCAAGAAGCGCTTCATGGCTACAACTCAGTTCGAAGCCATTGATGCACGACGTTGTTTCCCTTGCTGGGACGAGCCAGCAAGGAAAGCCACATTTGTCCCAGACTTAGTGCGTGTGCAAGATGTGTGTTAAAGGCCCGGAAGTTGGGCATGTAGCACAGCTTGAGAACAATGTCACCTGCTGAGGTGGTCACACTCATCTACCCGGCCAATCTTACAGCCATTTCAAACATGCCTCCAAGCCGCTCTGAAGTTCAGGCAGATGGAAAGCGAAGGTTGGGAGTTCGAAATTTTCATGGTCTCATGTCAAAGCGTGCATCCCTGCCAGGGAAACGTTCATGCCAACCCCAAGAATGAGCACGTACCTGCTTGCTTTTTGCATTGGTGAGTTTGAGTTCATCAGTGCCAGCACGAAGGGAGGAGTGCTGGCACGCATTTTCGCATGCCCCGGTAATGCTTCTCGCTGTAGTTTTGCACTGGACTGTTGCATACGTGCTCTCGAGTTCTACAATGATTTCTTTGGTATTCCATACCCTCTGCCAAAAATGGACATGATTGCGATTCCGGACTTTGCGGCTGGTGCTATGGAGAACTGGGGACTTGTCACATACCGAGAAGTTGCATTGCTCTGCGATGAATCAACTGTGTCCGCAACGCAGAAACAACAAAATTGCACGGTCATCGCCCATGAGCTGGCACACCAGTGGTTCGGCAACTTGGTGACCATGGAATGGTGGGAAGATCTTTGGCTGAATGAGGGCTTTGCGAATTGGATGCAGACGCAGCTTGGAAGAAATCCCTTGCAAGGAAGCTCTCTTCTCAAGGTCGAGAGGTTCGTTTTTCATGCTGGGTTCGAGAACAGACCAGGTTCGCTTCAGACAAGCTCTTCCCTGATTGGCACATATGGGAGTCGTATGTTGGGACGGAGCAGCAAAGAGCTCTGCAGCTTGATGCTCTACGCAGCAGCCACCCGATACAGGCATGATAGATTGCAAGCCCAACCAGGGTAGCACTTGGGGATTTGGAGTTGACATGTGCAGGTACCGATCGGGCACGCGGAAGAAGTAGAGGAGGTCTTCGATGCAATTTCTTATTGTAAGGAGCGCGGGATCTTTGGTCTTGTTGGAAGTGCATTCTATCAGAGTCTGCCCTTGAACGAAATGCATGCTAATTATCACCCATATGATTCCCTTGTCCATGCAAGCTTCATCAGGGAGGATCTGTGGTGCGCATGATTTACTCTGTGCTTGGCGAAGCGCACTTCCAAGAGGGGTTGCGGTTGTACTTCGACAGGCAGGATACTCTGTGAAAGATTCGTAGTCATGACGATGTGGCTTTTTGAGACGACACGTCGGACTGTTGAGAGTTTCGGAACTTTGGTTGGGACAGTTCAGTGACAACTGGCTCGGCATCATTTCGTGCCGTTTTGCCGCATGACAACTACGAGATAGTTTTGTGCAGGCACAAGTATGGCAACACAGTCACCACTGATTTGTGGAATGCTTGGAAGGAGGTGGGTCGGGGTTTTTGACATGCGGCACAAACCTTCTGCTTCGTCAGTATTTGGCTGACATTGCCGTGTCGTAGACGTGCCAGGTTTCTGGCAAGCCTATCGACAAGATGATGAGCTCATGGACACAGAAGATGGGCTTTCCACTGCTGGAGGCGCCCTCTCACCAGTGTTTCTGGGACGCCATGCTTCTGCACTATGTGCACCATCTCGTCCCAAGTGACTTTCCAGGTCTTGAACGATCCACTGGCTGATTCTACTGGCCATGCAGTGCCCTGAGTTTCCTTCAGTCTGGATCTGCAGTGCATGGAGCTCGCGCCAAGGTGGAGATTAGACAGAAATGGTTCTTGGCAGATGGCTCCTCTGAGCCCTCGGATGATGACAAGACATGGTTTTGCCCCGTGATCGTGGGCACTGACAAAGGCAGCTCACCTGCTGGCTTTCTGGAGGAGAAGAGCGGGAAGATCGCGTGCGCGAGTTGCCTTCCAGGCTTGTGGGAACTCTGCATGTCGTCTGCGGCATGAATTCGACTGTGAATTGTCGGTGATGTGGAGATGATGCTCAGGTGCATCCATGATCAAGGTGAATTTTGGACAGCATGTTCCTGTCCGAGTGTTGTATCCCGAATCTGTGTTTAAGCGACTGATTCAGAAGTTGAGCAGTGTGCCTCCAGAAGACAAGATAGGCTTGTTGTCCGACACATTCGCGATGAGCAAAGCTGGAGTTTTGGATGCAAGTTTCTTGGTGGACCTTCTGGCTGGCTTCAAGTCAGAACTGAACGACAAAGTGTGGTCCGAGATTTCTGCAGTTCTCGGAGGTCTGGAGAAGGCGTGCTTGTAGTGATGCCACTGACTGTTCTGCAGAGGTACGGGAGGAAGTGCATCGGTCGCAGTTGACGGTGCTGATCACATTTGCTGACCAGGTTGTGTGCCAGGGTCTGGCAGACGACACGGCGCAAGCTTTCAAGGAGTTCTGCAGCAAGCTCGTGGTTCCGGCATTCAATCACGTGGGATGGGAGACTTGGCGGCAGCGAGTGTCGCGCAGGCCAGGAGGTGTCGGCGCTGTTGGCACAGCAGTGCACAGCAGTGCATAGAGTGGCACAGAGTTTACGTGAGCTTTTTGGGGATTTTCTTCCAAGCTTCGACTCTGAAGTCAGCAACCCATCGGCCGCTCAGACACCGCAAAAAAAGGGCCATCGACTGATGGGCAGAAGTCTTTGGTCTGAAGATGGGTCCCCATTGCGTGAGGAGACTGCAAGTGCAGACAGTGACAACCGCAAGAAGCTGCGCAGCACGGTTTTGGCGGCGGTATCGAAATACTGCTCACAGGACCTGAAAGTTCAGGCGGACTGTCATGTACTTCAGTTGATAGCGATTGGGTTTGATTGCAGGATCCGACGATTTCTGCCGAGGCGGTGCGGCGGTGCAAGGATTTTGCAGCATCGCCCAATGATGCCACGGCAGCTTTGCAGCACAATGTCTTCTCGAAGATGCCATTTGCAGAAGCTGCTGCTTGGAGCCCGCAAAGATGCCATTTGCAGAAGCTGCTACTTGGAGCCAGCAAATCCTTCAACATGTAGTTGCTCTGCAATGCTCTGCATAGGTGTAGTGAAGAGACAAGGTGCTTTCTGCAGACATCCGTTCTGCAGTTTTTGATGTAGCGCTGCAGAGTCACCATGCCGCGCTCGCATTCGATGAGCTTGTTCGAGCCCACGAAGTCGTGACAGATGGTTCCTTGACAAGACACATACATGCACACCTGGTCGACTTACGCACATAAGTTCGCTTCTGGGTTGAATTAAGCTCATTCATAGCATCGAGCTGGAGTACTAACTAGTGTTTGCACGGGGTATAGTGAGGTGAAGCTGTGCACACATCAATCTTGGGAGTTCACCATCGCTCAACGACAAGTTTTAGACTAGGTCTTGTGACATGTATGCTTTTTGATCCGCCCTAGGGTGTGCCTATACTTCCATTCCGGTGTATTTCCCTTCGGAGAGGGGAGTGCTTGAAGCGTTGAGGAGCAGTAAAGATCCACATCTATGGGGCTTTGGGCAAAGCCGGTGGAGCTGCACTCCAGCAGAAAGCGCTGGACTTTTGCCTCAGCGGTGCGGTTCGGTCCCAAGACCTTATATACATTCCAATGGCCATGGCCACAAGTGGCAAGACTGGTGCGGACACAGTTTTCTCCTGGATGCAGAGTGAGTATAGCCGCATTTATGATATGCTTGGCGCGACCTCGATGATGCTCTTCCAGAATATGGTGCGGGTGTCCGGAGCAGGGTTTGTCACGGAAAGCAAGGCCGAGGAGGTGGCTGCATTCTGGAAAAGCCGCGACCTGTACAAGAACATAGAGAAAGCTTTGGCACAGACGGTCGAAGGGATCAAGTCCAACTCAAAGTTTGTAGACAGGTCTGGGGCCAGAAGTTGTGAAGCCGTGTAATGAGTAGTGCCTTCGTTACGTCGATTAGAAGCTTGTTCAGTTTTGTCCACAGCTTCAAACACTGCTCGGACATGGCAGGTTAAAGGGATCGAAGGCAGCGCTGGCTTCAACCTGGAAATCTGCAATGGCCAACAGCAACTTGTGAAGCTAGTACCGCTGACGCTTGACCGCCGAGAGCAATCGAACTCTCGCGTGGCTCCAGTAGGTGCGAAGCAACAGATGCTGGAGACAAACGTGTGAATGGTATGCAGTGCAAGCACATGACATAGAGCGGGTCACCTACAGCAGAACTCGTTTCCTGACGAGGCCAAGGGCGTGGAGACAATGCTTTCCTTTCTGCGACACTTGCCACAAGCCCATGTGGCCCCAAATACGTCGGAAGCAGTGAATGCAGCTGCCAGCCACTCAGGCTTTGGGGGTAGTCTTTCTCGCCCATTCCAGAAGCTTTCCCCTGTCGCGAACAGAGGCTGCTGCGATGTTTCAACGGGCAGCCTGCTGGCTCAATGACGTTGTTCCTCGGGCCTGGAGTTACTTCCGAAATCCTCAGCTGCAACGCTTCAGAACGGCAGCCAGGACGAGGTGGACTTCGATCAGCTTCAGCACGTGCTTTATCTGGCCTTCTGGTGCCACACCTGTTTCTACAGTCGCGAGTGCTCATTAGAACAGTTCGCAACAGAGTGATGTGGGAGGCTGGGCGCAGAGGATGAGGACGTTGCCCTCTCCGCTTCTGTCTGAGAGTATCGAGTCTCGTTTCTATTAAAAAGCTGAGAGATCGACGGATCTGGCAAGGCATTGGATGCCATCGAAAGGTTTACGCTGTACAGGAACCTCTGCAATGGTCGGTATGCAGCAGAACCTGTAGCTGAGTATGATGACACGAGGAGTGAGAATGGCGCCACACTTCTGCAGTCAGATGTCCTGCAGGCCCTGGCGACATAATTGGGGTTCTGACTTTGCTGCCATTTGTCGCTTCAGGTGCTGCACCGTATCATTGGCCACAACCGCGCGCCGGAGCTTGTCTCTGAGGCGTCGTTGTTGTGTGTTTGCTTGTGAGATCTTTTGAGGGTGTCCCAAATCCCGAGCAAGTTGGCCAGGCCTTCACACTTCTCTACAGACTCTGCGATGCCCCGGCTCCCGCGGTAGTGCCACCGGCAGGTTTGATCAAACGACAAGCGTTGGAATGATAGGAAGGAGCTTTATGAGATGTGAGTAGACCGTGCTTTCGGGCTTTGCCACGCCTCGTGTGTGGGTAACAACGTATTTGTCCGAAGCCCGCTGGTTATTGAGGTGTTTTTTTTGACGCCTTTTGTTATGATGAGAAGGGCTTGGTTTCGGCCGAGAAAACTTGCACGGAAGCTCAACCGAAAGGTAAGTCATGCCGCAGATATTTCTCAGGCTCCAAAGTGGTGCCCACCGGACACGTGTTCGACTTCAGAGCCGTTGATGGTGGATTGGAAACCCGCCACAATTCCTTACCCCCAAGGGTTTAAACCGGAAGATGGATTCGAAACTGAAGCCGAAAGCCGCGTGCGCGCCTTCGATGTTTTGGTTGTGTCTTCGCGCGCTTTATGTAGGTTTGCCTCAACATTCCAAATGCTTCTCTTGTGTTGGTGCTCGAAGCTATACGCGAAACCGCTAACTCATCGAAAAAGTGAGACGCGGAAGAGATGCAAAGGTTGATGCCCGCTCTCCCCGAATCCAGTCCTCGCAGGTGTCTTGTGCCAGGTACCGTTGATGACGGAGGAAAGTGGCCTGGTGCGGACAGTGGTCGGAGACTCAAATCCAGGTAACATCTCATATCGCATGTCATCAATGTGTCACAATACCTGCCTGCAGCTGAAGAGGTGGAGTCAATGTTGCAGGCTCCGTTGAATATGCCTCTCGGCTTTGGATTCGCCCTTGTGAGGGCTACACCTTTGTGGGCTGGCAGCTGAGGCGCTTACAGCTCGCGGGAGTCAGGCTCCTGGCCTTGTGGGCACAGCAACGCTGGCGCGAACTTCCGCCAGTCGCAGTTTCAGTCTGTGCCTCTGCAGCCGTGATATTATGTTTCGTGCCAGGTTCGACGTGGCTGAGGACCCCGAAGCCGAAGTGGCGATGTCGGATCAGAAGGCCAGTCTAGTTTGCTTTCAGCATTCAATGTGATGCTGCTCGAGCCAATTGCAGCGAACCGCTGAAGCGTCCTTCCCGTACTGAACTGGAGGACTTAAAGCAGTTTGTGCGCGAGGCTGGCCATCTCTAGACACCACGTAGCTGGGTAAATGAGCAGGAGGGCCAGGAAGGACTGTTGAATGACAAGGCCAACGCCGCGGAAGTTGCCAAGGAGGTGGCAGCGAACCTGACCCGGGCCGGGCCCTGCCCTTGAACTTCCTTGAACCTGCTCCAATGGCAGCTCTACCTCAAGTGTTGGCTCGGGAGCTACCAGTAGCAGCTGAGGCTTACCCACGCTGCTTCATGGATGTCAGCCATCTCTTCTCGCCTGCCAGCATCTCAGTTGCGAATGCTGTGCAAGCACGGCTGAACTAGCATGCTCCCTCCACGCCAAGGCCTAAGAAAGTGCAGGGGAGCAAGGGGTCAAAGGAGCCACGGGAACCAAAGGCAAGCAAAGGTTCCAAAGATGAGCCGGGATCTCAGCGGTGCTGGTAGGCTTCGACTTGCTGTTTGGATCTTCAGGCATGGTCCTCGCTCGGCCAGCAAAGCAAGTGGCTCCTCGCGAGCGAAGTCCAAGTGATTATGCAACAGGTGCTTCACGATGCAAGGCATCAGTTTCACAAGCTTGTGCAGTCTTGTCTCACACCCTGCATGTCAAAAGCAATGCATGCCACATTGCATCGATCCCGTGTGATGATTTCTGGGTTTCGTCTGTGCTGCTTTGCAAAGATGCCTGTCTGTCCCATCCGACATGCTCCTTTCAGCAATGCTCCTTGCAACTTGGGCGACAAAGTCAGTGTAAAACTGCTACGGCAAGGTCCAGCTTGCAGCCTCACTCAAGATAGCTTCATACGGTTAATTAGTGTAGGTTTGGGCATTGCTGGCAACAAGCTCCGAGTGCCATCCATGTCTCGAAATGTTCTAGGGCCAGTTGTGGACTGCCACAGTTAGGGCTGAGCATGGCGTATCCTCACCCCGAATCTGCTGAAGCCAAAAAGATGCTACTCTGCAAGATAATAGGTTTTCCTCATTACGGCTCCATTCTTTTTCTGTGTATCTGTCCTGGTAGCAGTCGCCCAGCCCAAGTCAGAAAGTGTTGTAGTGAACATGTTTGGAAACACAGGAGATCTCTGCATGTTCGTGCTCGCTGGGTTGCTACTGCTGAGCCTGGAGATCCGGACGTCTTGGAGGATCGTGTCATCTCTGTGGACCTTGCAAGTGGGAAGATCACGGCGCTCACCCCTGCCAGTGAATTCTCGGGCACGGCAGATATGCATTTGACAGATCATCTTGTGATCCCCGGCCTGGTCAATGCGCACACCCACACTCCCATGTCGTTGCTCAGAGGGTATGCAGATGATTTACCACTCAACGAATGGCTGTTCCAGCACATTTTCCCAACAGAAGGCAAGTTTGTTTTCGATGCGCCGCTGGAGGAAGCAGAGGAGTTTGTTCGATTGGGTTCAGAGCTTGCTTGTTACGAGATGCTGAAAACGGGAACGACTCTCTTCAACGACATGTATTTCCACGGTGATGTCACTGCCAATGTTGCTCGCAAGGCAGGCATGAAAGCCGTCCTCACTAAGGCTGGTCTGCTCTTTTTTGGCGATGATGCTTTATTCAGTGAACTTGTCGGTTCAAACACGAAGTTCTGTGCAGAGCTCATTTCCTCAGAGGACAAGGCCATCAGGCCGTCGTTGCTACCGCATTCTGTATACATGGTGCCTAAAGAGAAGCTGCAAGAGGTCAAACAGGCCTACGACAAAGCTTGCAATGGCGCCCATGTGGTGATCCATACACACGTTCATGAAACGAAGAAGGAAATTGCGGATGTCTTCGAGAGAACCGGACAATCTGCACTGCAAATTTTGGACGACCTTGGCATGCTGAACAGTCGCACTGTGGCAGCGCACTGTGTTCACATGACTGACGAGGAGATTGCCCTCATGGCCAAATGCGGGGCCAGTGTAGCACACTGTCCAAGGAGTAACTTGAAGCTAGGTTCAGGTATTGCACGGACGGCAGACATGTTGAAAAATGGTGTCAACGTCTGTCTTGGAACGGACGGTGCAAGCTCCAACAACACTTTGGACATGCTTACAGAGAGTCTTCACTGCATGTCTTAGACGAAGACAATAGCTTTAATTCAACAGTTTGCTAAACTGCCTTTTGCTTGAAGGCTGGGCAATGCTAGTCTGGGCTAGGGAGTTGGAGGGAGTTGTTGTGCTTACCGTATGCCGAGGATGCAATACGCATCAATGGTCGCAAAGGGCTTCACCGGGGATCCCACGGTGTTGTCCGCAAGGGAAGTCTTGGAAATGGCAACGCTGCGTGGCGCCCGAGCACTTGGCTTGGAGGCGGAGACTGGGTCCATCAAGGCGGGCGGCTGGCATCGAGGTAATCACAGTCCAAAGTGTAATGAGTAATGCCGGAAAATGACCATGACCATGCAAAAGTTCTTATCACCAGGTTGGAAAAGCTGCAGACCTGGTTGCGGTTGACCTTGGACGCCTTGAGGCCACGACCAACCAGTTCATTCGGAATCTCCAATGATCCCTCTCTGAAGGCATCCCCGATCTATGATCCTCTGGGCCAGCTTGTTTACACGAACAGCCGCCAGGTGCGAGTCGTTTCACAATCACCGTCGGTTTGCCTGATTTGTCTAGCGGCTGATGTGGGTTGGATGCACAGACCCCGGTGAAGGTCAGCCACGTGTGGATCGACGGTAAGTGCATCGTGCAAGATGGCACGGTCTTGACCTTGCTGTCAATGGACATGTCTGCCATTGTGCCTCCGAGACAGAGAGTTCAGTCTTCGTTTCATTTTTCGCTTCCTGTCTCTCGAAACAATGCCGATGATGCTTCCCGAGACAGGAAAAGCTTGTTTCCAAGCTGCGAGACTTCCGCAAGTCCCTACCGGCTGCCAGCTGAACCTCGAGCCGCGCTTCGAACCATCCTGCAGAGTCCGGCTGAGAATTGTGTCTATGCAGAATGCCAGTTCTGGAGATTTTCGCAGCCGACGTTGGTGTGGGATTAAAATAGCAGCTGCCGACTGTCCAAATGGAGCTTCCAGCAACCTTGCTTGGCAGTGCTGTGTCTGGATTGGTTTGGGGCTCAAGTCGGAGGGTCTTTGAGGGGGCAGGAATGGCACCGAAGAAGCCTGTCGAGGCGGGGAAGAGACCTTGCGAGAGGCTGTGCCTCGTCACTGTGCCAGGAGCCTCCCGAGGAGGAAGCTGCAGAGCCTGAGCCGGTGGAGGAGAAATCTGGAAACGCAGCTTCGCTTCTGTCTCGGCCGTCTCGTCACCTCTGGAAGCAGGGCGATGAGACCGAACTGGTCACTGGCCTCAAGCTGCCGCTCAAACCAAACGTGCTGCCCTCGACTTCAAAAACCAGCGATCAGCTGACAGATCTCACGAGACAGGAATGAGAGAGGCTTATGCTGCATGCAAGACGACAGCTAACCACAGCCTGCAGCATGCCGGCAACGGCAACCGTAGCCAACTATAGATGTTGGCAGTGGCACTCAGGACGTCGGTCGAATCTGGGCGCTGCAAGACTATGCTGCACAGTCTAAGATCCTCACTGAGCTCTTGGGTGTCTCGCCTGCACAAAATCTCCGGTCCCCGCACGGTCACGGCCCACATGGCCTGGTCGCTGGCCTTTGGCTTTTGCCGCAGCAGGCCTCGAAGGCGCGCATCCCAACGTCGCTCGGAGGCCGCACAGAGGGCACCGCGCTGCAAACTGAAGAGCAGAGCGTTGGCTGCTCTGCGTGCGGTCTGCATTGCGGTCGCAGGGAGATCGTGTGCGACTTCCACCTCTTCAACCTTAGCCACGCGAAGATGTTGTGCTTAACCCAGAGGCACGAACCCCGTATGCGAGGGCCTGCACGAATGCATGAACCGGGCAGGCAAGGCGCCGTGTTCCACGCAATCATGACCGTGATTCTGGACTGAGCACCTGCAGAACCTAGCCACCTAGCCATTGCTGCCCTGTTTGACGTCAGCTTGCCCTCGAAGGCATGGCCTCCCAGCTGAACCAAAGGTCTCGCCTCCCCTCAGGCCCAGCGGCATACAGGCAAGAAGATCAGGAGACCTCGAACAGCGACAAGTCGAATGAGTTGAAGTCTCGGAACAGGAAGGAGGTTACCGCCACGTTCTGGCCAGCTTCGCCACCTTGTGAATCATGTCTCAGCACCTTTCAGAAAACATCAAGCCGATGAAGCCAGAAACCAGTGGTTGATTTCTTGTAAAGCCCGTGCTTTGAGGCACCGTCGAACTTTTCGACAATGCCTTCTTTATATCGGATTTCTTGAAGTGTTGAAACTCGCGATGAACTACTCGGGGTGCCGACAGCGTTCTCGCAGGACATGGCCAAACAGGGCTCCGAGGACTCCGAGGCTCGGATGCTCTGAGCCTCTGCCAGCTCTGCCTGGTTTGCCCGCAGGGCTCTGCCGCGGAGGCCGCAGAGTCTGCAGCCCAGCCGATGTGTGCACTGAGACATGGCAGCTGCTGCTGGTCGTATCGCGGCTTTGAATGTTGTGGCTGCTACTTGCTTCGACACGCGAGCAGCGGCGGAGTTCGCAGCCATGAAACAGGGTTAGGCTGAGTCGAGTTGCAAAGTAAAGACGTGGAAATGTGCGAGTGGGGAGAAGGAAGGCATGCGTTTTGCAAGGTCTGGTCACAGTTGTCCAAGGTGCTTCAAGAAGTTTCGGGAGCTCCTGGTGCTCCACTCGGTCAACGATTCGCCTGACCGTTCTGTCCCAAGTATGCGCCCACCAGCCTTCTCACGGAGTTCTGTGCCAGACCGAAAGGTCTTGCGATCTTCGGTGCCGGCGAGGCCTTGTGCAGTCTGTCAAGGGAGAAGCATCGCTTTGGTCCAGTGGTGGGACCCAACAAGGCCAGAAGGCTCACCGACTACGCGACAACGACGCTATTCAAGCTCCCTGCCCAGGTTGGTGATGAAAGGCTCTAGGTCCTCTAGGTCCAGGTTGACTTACTCAGGACGACAGGTGGGTCGGGTAACAATGTGCCACCCCCCGTCATTCCAAGGATCCACCATTTCCCCTCCCAATGGACCTACCACGCAGCCTGCCGTGTACTCTCCTTGCCAATGCAGGCTTAAGCATGTATCAGGACGCCGAGCATGAATCTGTTTCTAGAAGACATACGAAGCTTCACATACGTGCCGTGACACACACAAAAGCAGGAGTTGCCCATACAATACTTGCATTACTTGCTATCACGTATTCGAATACTACTTACATGTGTGCTTTTTCTGTTAGATTGAATACGCAGCGAATAGCAGGTCAGCATTGGTTGAACAGTTGACGCACATATGTATGACCTACCAAATATTCAGATAGCAATTACGATGCATGTGCTTTTGCTTCTGTTAGAATCAATGTGCAAGTGTTGAACATGTCATTATGTTTTGTCTCCAGAGCGTATTCATGAGCGTCCAGTCTTGTTGAACATGTCATAATGATTTGTTTCCTGGAGCATATTCATGAACATCCAAACTTCAACGAATATTGGACTAGCTAGCTTGTCGCAGTCATACAAATGAGAACCAGTCAGTGTACATGTAAGGCTGAGGATGGAGATTGGTGGCTTGCGGCTCAAGGAGTGTTGCCCAACTTTTGGGCTTGGTGGTTCAGGGTTCGAGTAGTAACTGGTGGGGTTTAGGCTGCCCGGCTCATTGTTCGGGGTCCGTCCTGGTCCTTTTGCTCGCCATCTCCTCTGGCATTTGCATTGGATTTTTGCTTGCCCTTTGGCTTTTCCGGACCACTCTCTTGGTCCCATCCGCCCAGCAGCCCTTCCAGAGCAGTCCTCACCCTGATCCTGTTGATCCAGTGGCCCGGCCCAGGTCCTTGCGTCTGAGAGGCTACTTGCATGAGTAGGAGCAACCTTCTTGCTACAATCCGAAGTGCCGTTGACTCTCTCAGGGAAGCCCTCCGGGGGAGCTTGTGGAGGCAGGCCCTGACTTGCAGGACCAACAAACAGGTCCCTTCTGCTGCCCCGCCTCCTAGCCACGACCTCGTCACGGGTGACGCCCTCTTTCTGGTGTCCTCCCTGGACGCAAGGTGCCGTCTTCCAGGGCCTCTTTGACGATCTTTCGGCCACCCCTGCTTGCTCTGTTCGCAATCGGTGTTACGTTGTGCTTCGCTGCAGAGGGGAGACTGCCATTCGCAAAACTCAGGGTCCTGGGACCTGGCCTACCTGCTTACTTTGATGGAGGACCCTCCTCATCAGATCTTCCAGCACCGACCTCAGGCCCAGAACCACGGCTCGGAGCGTTCGGAGCCACAACGACTTTGGCCTTTGTCAAGGAGATAGATGCCATCCAGAGCCGTCGGAGCGAAACCAGGGGTGCTCCCAGCACAAAGCCTCAGAAACTCACAACCACGACCCGCCTGCCAAGCCGAAGCGCCCACGCTTCCCTCGCAAGCCCAAGGATGCGTCACCGGCTTAGTGTCTTCTGAGCTGTTTCCTGGTGATGCCCCTCCTTCCTGTCAGCTGGCTCCTGCTTCTCTTTCCTCAGCACAGCTGTGTGCCCATATGTGTAGGCAGGTTCTATACGAAGACAGCACCTTTGAAGTTGCTGCTGGCCCGTTTGAAATTCTGCTGAGCCGGCTCCTCGTGACCCGGGCTCTTTGCGACACTCTCTTTCGAATTCTTTCGGGAGCTGGGCCTTCTTCGGCCTCGTGTCCAGCCCACCCTGGCCTGCATCATCTGCGAGGTTCGGCCGACAATGCTCTGCCATCCTCCTTGCCTCGAGCTCCTTCCAGTGCCGCGCCCTGGGCCTTCGGGCTTTTGGTCCCAGCCTGGGTGCTAGGGTTATTAGGACTTGGGGTTCTTTTGGGGCCTATCCCAGCGCGTCCTGCTCACGCCCTTTTCCCTCTGCCGGTTCCGGGTGCTTCCCAGCACGTCCCTTCAGCAAAGGCGTCTCGTGTCAGGTCCCGTGTCGCTTCCAGGCGTGTTGCTCACGTTGCCGTTATGGCTTGCAACTTCCTTTTCGCCGGGGCCTCTTGCCAACTGCATTTGCTGACCCACCCGCCAAACAGAGCCCAGTCTGCTGCCACAGGCTATGTCTTTAAGCTCTGTAGGGCATGCGGTGCCGTGGAGCCTTTTTGTTGCCTCCGCTGAATGCCGAAACCTCACTCTCACTTCCTGCCTCGCTGAGCTTTGTGAGCACTTGACTGTCATCGGCCCCTCTGCTGATCCTTACGGTCCCCAGTTTCATGGTGCAGCTCCCGAGGCTGTTCAGTCTGGCAAGCCTCCGTCTGAGGCTACGAAGCCCTCCCCTTCACCTTTGGAAGGCTACAAAAAACCGCCTACTTCGCTTGCTGGCCCTGCCCCCCCTCTGCCGAGGTTCCACACGCGAGCCCTTTGGAGCCCGACATCCTCTTGCATGATGCACGGCGGTGCCAGACCTTAGTCGGGAGCGGGCCGCTGATCTTGCTTGCTGGTGGTCTGAACTTGGCCTTCTTTACTTGAAGGACTCCTATGCTGATCAGGTGGACCCGCTGGATTCGGTACGCGTCTTCAACTGCTACAAGTCTGCAACCTGCGACCGCATGATAGGAGACAGGAGGGCCAGGAATTTCCGGGAGGAGCCCTGCAAGGACCTCCGAATAGCCATCACAGATCGTAAAGATTTTTATCATCAACTTGCGGCCGAGCCCCGGAGGGCCACCTCGCGAGGACGGTCCCTCCTTGTTGAGCCCGAGGTTGCGACTTGTGCCCACCGCAATTTTCTGATTGATCGAGGGCTGTTGCAAGAGGGCCAGGAGGTCCGGGCGAACCATCCTTTCCCCACCGGCCGTGAGTTGCAGGGTTAAGGCCACCCGCGCTTATCAAGACCTGCTTGGATCAGTTGAGAAAGATGTCAAGGGCGAGGAAAAGGCCCGGGTGGCAGGTGCGGAGCTGCAGGCCCGTCAGGCAGGCATTGTGACGGCAGGTGCGCCATGCCCCGAAAAGCTTTCGCTCGCCTCAGTTTCCCTGAGCATCCTCCCTGCCATCCACATCTGATGTTCTGCATACCTGCTTGCTTGGAGGATGGCTCTCCTCCTTCCTTTATAGGAGGCCCTTGATGGCTGTGTTCTTCAAGGCGTTTGCTCTGGTGGATGCCTCTCAGCTGACCCCTTCTGCTCCCAAGGTGGTTGACCTCCCACGTGCCACGGCAAACGAACTTGTGCTTGCAGCCTGCCTGGATAGACCCCTTGAGTGAAGAGCGCCCTCCCCCTTCAGGGAGGCACTGGCCCCCGTGCGAAGAAGGCACTCCTCTCGACTTTGTGCCTTGCTGTGCCTCGCGCCCTTTGGATCTTCGATTTCAATGTCTTCAGGTCGGTGTCAGACCACTTCCCTGTGCGATGCCCTCTCTGCTCGCGGTTGGGTCGTTGGCCATCTTGGGCTCGCCTTTTCTCCTCACTATGATTTGTCGTGCCAGACTTTCTTCTTGTGGCTCCTTCACATGCTTGAGACCAGTGGCGTCGACGCTCTCTATTTCCGACCCCCGCGTCCACTTTTTCCCGGGCGGCTCGGCCGCCTCTTCCGACTTTTCGTGAGCCTTTTGGCTCTTCTGCGGATCCCAAGCTGCGGCTTGGCTACCTGCTTGCACATGCCTCACTCTGTCTTCGTCAAAGCGACTCGTGTACGGGCCCTTTGCCTGCTGGAGCAGCCTGGAACGAGCCTCATGAGGCGCCTCCCCTCCTGGCAGCGTGCAAGCAGCAAGCCTTATGTCCTTGAGGTCTTTACTTCCGTGGCCCAGCCTTCTTATCCAGCCGGCTCTACTGTTTCTTGGCGCACCGCCTTGCTGCCAAAGCTTTTGGGGCAGAGCGCCCCCGAGCCCCTGCGTTTCATGCCCCAGCTTAAAGGGGCCCTCTGCACTCCGACGCTCGTTGAGGCTATTGCTGACGTGTTCTCCCGAGGCCTGCGAAAGAAAATCCTGGCAGGGCGGGCTTTTGACTGTGATGCCTATGGGCTTGAGAGAGTGCTTGTCAACGATGTTGCGCTCTCCCTCGACTCCCTCGACTGGACTCTCACCTCTGCGCGGGACCACGAGTCGCATATCAGCTGCCTTGAGTCGTCTGCCTACCTTAGGCTGTTCTACCACAACGCAAAACAGGCACGCGGCCCACTCGTTTTGCCTCGCTCATCGACTCGAATGTGTCGAGGTGTGCCATTGGCAAAGGCCGTTCGCGCTCCAGGGCCCTCACGAAGGTCCTCAGCAGGATTTCTTCGGTTTCTTTGGCATGTGGTCTTTGCGGAGCACTTCCCTTCTGTCCTACACGCATCAAACCCTGAAGGTGGATCAGCCGCAACTGGTGCAAACTATAATCTTGGCCTTTAGCAGCATGACCAAGTGGACCAAGGATCAACGGCTGCCCTAGTCTCCGGCTACTTTTAGGTCACGTTTTTCAAAGTTACTGCAAGCTCTCTCCCTGAGCCAGGTTACTGATTCAACGATCAAAGGGTTTGATCTTGGCTCTTTAAGAGCCGGCGGCGCGACATGGCTATTGCAAGTGACAGAGGACGGCGAGCTGGTACGCCGTCGCGGCAGATGGTTGAATAACAGAGTGTAAGACATGTAAAGATTATAAACAAACAAATGATTCAAGCAAGATATGCAAGAGATGTTTAGAATAAACAGATTGAAACATATTCCAAAGTTTTAAAACCTTTCAGACTTTCATCAAAATCTAGATATATGTATATATATATATATAACATGAGTGGTTTCGATGATGATGTGAAGGAAAAAACAACAAGATTTCAATCGAAATTAGATAAATTAGACATGATTGATAAAACGCTTGATGAATTAACCAGTAAACCTAAACGCTACAATAAACCATTAGACAAAAAAGTGATACATACAAAAATAGAAAAGTTGTTTATGTTAACGAGTTAAACAACTGTGAAATAAAGCAGCCAAGCCGAGAGACTTTGGATTATTTTGGTATTAAATTTGATGAAGTCAACAGACAGTATTTTTAAATTTTCTGTACAATATAGATGGTGTAGTTTGCAAAAACACTTAAAGAGTTAACATATGCCAGAAGCTTTTGGATATAGAAGCAGACAAGAATCGGTTAAAATTAAGAATGATTTGAAAATTGTAAGAAAATGAAGCTATGGATCCTTAACTCGTGTGCCATATATAACTGGCGTGCCGTATATTGACAATAAGCGTTTCAATACGCTTTATGTAAGGAACGGAAAAATGCTTGTTCATGCGAGAACACTAGACATTATGAAACGGGAGGAAGCAGAGAAAGAAATCAACGAGTCGAAAGGAAGGGCAAACTTTTATACAATAATGAACGGATAAGCATACACAGCATTTTACTAATTAGTTTTGGTAGACCCTATTCACTTCTTGAATTTTATATCAATGTTGAATTTTTCCGTATCTCTAACTGCTTCTGATATTGTGTTTTTCATAAAATTGTATCTTGCCCAAGCTTGCGGTTTCTCTATGGCTTTAAATGTTTGCATAGTTTGCTACATATCTTTGCTTTCTTTCTTCATCTGTATGTTGTGCAAAATCACCGTATCCCGTAGCACCAAATGAAACAGTCTTTTTCACCATCAGTAATTGCGTCGTATTTCTTCCCTTCTTTTGATGATTCTTGAAGTATAATTTCTGTCATCATACTCGATTTTTTGAGATATGATTCTATGTAATTGGCAATTCCCAGTTTAGGGTTAAGGACTTTAGGGGGAATTGGATTACGGGGGCATTTCCCATTTCGTGGTTAGCATATGGTTTGTAGAATGGAATGAGTAAGCTAAAGGATATGGTCATTGGTTACGATTCAGGGGTTTTGGCATAAGGTTGGTTTTATCATCGTGGAGCAAAACCGTAGGCGGGGGCAAAGGGTGCGGGCGGAGGTTGAACTGGGCAATGCCCCCTCCAGCTCTTTGCACCTACCTGCAATAAACACCAGCTGATTTGGGACAGCTTAACAGTTTCTAGGCTTGTTCGGTTGTAAAACATTGTAACATCTCAAGCTTGTGGTCAAATCCCAATCAATGCATGTTTCTGGTCGCGGGACGTCACAATGTGAGAGGCCCGGATGGTTTGGGTCGCGGCATGCCAAATCCTGGGGACATCCCATGATTGGGGGTGTGGGAGAAAGTGAACGTGCTGAAGTCCAAACGTTTCTGGGGTCGGGGAACCACAAGGAACCCAAAGCATGTGATCTCCGCTGATACTGCATCCTCTGCGGTCAGTGCCCGGTGATGTAACGTCTGGTGTTGAGCAGATCGATCGTTTCTGAGTCCCACATCACGTTGAAATAATAGTACGCTTCAAACCAGACTCATCCCGAAGCCAAACCCCACTAGGTCGTTTCAACAGCAGAAAGGGTAGGTAGGTCACAGTGGTGGGAGTCCATGTGCATGTCTGTTTGTTTGTCTGTCTGTCTGCTTATATGTATGTATGTATGTATGCATGCATGCATGCATGCATTTATGTATGTACGTACACGTACGTGTGTATGTGTGTAGGTGTATGTGTGTATGTGTGTATGTGTGTATGTATGTGTGTATGTAGTATGTATGTATGTATGTATGTATGTATGTATGTATGTATGTATGCATGCCATACATGGCATACACGCAAACACATGCATGCACGTACTGTCATGTATCTGCTTGTTGACGTCTCTCTGTAGCTGTTCATGTTCTGCCTGTACATCCGCACTTCTTAATCTTTGTCCTGTGCAGCTGTCCTATAACTGTTACTTAGTCTATTCTGGTCAATTCCACAGCCTTCTACAGGATTTCTAAACGCCGTTTTCCTGAGACTTGTTCACGGTGCAATCCCGGCCTTGTTTCACTGAGACTCCATGGTGTACCGTGCGGCAGAATAACTTCTACTTAATCCCACGTCGTCGTGTCGCCCACCTGGCCGTCATGATTCGATCCTCACACCCAAGGCATTTCCTTCTTTACCAGTTCTGCGTCTGCTGCGAAAGAGATGTGGAGACCTTGCGCTTCAGCGTAGAAGTGGAGAGGCGTGTTGTGCAGCTGTGCGCTGCGCAGACGAATTCGTGAAGCATTTTGAGCTGTAGGCCACTGGTGCCCCCGGCGTTGGGAACGGCAAGACAAAAGGTGAGCCGAAGGCTCGGAACTACTTTTTCACACCACACGGTCCCTAGTCTGTACAAAGCTGAAGACCGTCCGCATCAAAGGAAGTCAAGGCTGAAACTGCCGTCCCGACCTGCGAGGCCGCAGCAACCCGATCAGGAGGTGGCGGGTGCCGCAGAGGCACGGTGGTCGCCCGTCGCAGCAGCTGAAGAGCAACTGAGTCTGCATTGCAGGAGAAACCGTCCGGGCCTGGTGGTGAGGCAGGATCAGTTTCAGCCATAGCCTACTCAAGAACTGTCAGCGCCATTTGCTCGAGGACCTGTCTGAAGAGGAGATTCAGCGCTTGGTTGAGGCAGACTTGCTGCTTGCTTAGCCACGAGCCAACAATTGAAATTCCACAGGAGAAGCTCCGGGAGACTGAGGCTCGGTTGGAGGCACCTTCTCAAGATGCTTTGGCATGCTTCCGGTTGCAGTGGCGAGGTGTTTAAGATTCGAATGAAAGGCCAAGCTGGCTGCCAGAGAGCAGCAATTCATGGAACGCTTGGTGGCCAACTTGGCTGCACACGTTGAGGATTGCTTGCCCGAGCTGAACTCATACATGCGATATGACCTGAGGCGAGCAAATAACCGCTTGCAGGGCGTCCGCATGCCTTTCCGCAGGAAAGGGCCGTGTTTCACCAGACAAAGAGCAAGTGCGTGAGCCTTAAAAAAGCACCCACCAAATTAAGTATGCAGGGCATGGGCCATGAGCCGTGCGGGAGTGTGTGCATGTGATTGCATGGTGAGCTTGATGCAAGGATCTGTTTTGTCTTCAATTGCGGGAACGTGGGAGTGAGACTGTCAAACGCATCAGTGTTGATCTTCGGGTACAGGCTGTTCGGCGACGGACGGTTGTTTCCTCAGGAGTTTTTTTTGGTGTTTTTTGGGGAGGGTTGGCAGAAGGAGGAGGAGGAGGAATAGGATGAAGGAGCACAACAAGAAAGGAAGGATGGAGGACAGGAACGAAGGAACGAGACAGAAGGAAAGAACGACATAAAGAAATGAAGAAGCAAAGAAATAACTAACTTTTCAACGACAAGAAAGAAAGAACACAATAAAGGACGGAGGTACTGACGAGAGAAATATGGATGGAAGACATGGAGGAAAGAAGGCCAGAGGAACACAGGAAAGAAAGGAGAAGAGAGGAGCGTCAAGGAAAGGAAGGGAGTAAGGAAGACCACAGAAATTGCAACGAAGAACGAAGGAACGAAGGAGTGCCCGCTTGCTCGCTGCAAAGTACGACCGAGTAAATGGGCTACCCTTACCATGCGTCTGACCTCCAACAGAAAAACACAACACACCACGCGAACTTAAAAAGCATGCAAGAACACAGAACAATCCTTCGTTTCTCGGCAAGTTATGCGAATCCAGTTTGCCTACTTATCGAGGTTGTGATCGGCCAATCCTCGTCGGTAATCAGGAGGCTAACAGGTGTCGAAGGCATGTATCGTTTCATTTAGACATGTGCCATGTTTGGTTGCAGCTTTGATTGATGTTTGCTGAAGCATCCCTGTCGAGCTGCCTGTGCCAAAGCATGCCCCTCAACACGGCCGCAGATATTTTTGCAGATTTGGCAGTCGTAGGGGTTAGAAATGTCTTCAGACAGCCAGACGAGAAGCCGCGAGGTACATGAAGTACATGCCACATCTCCAGCAATTGAAAGGCACCACCGTATTCACCACATCCCAACTTCTTTGTAGACCGATCCTAGTTTGGTTGTTGTCTCATGTTATGAGTTTAAGCTGTCTGTAGCAGCTCAACAGATGCTTGCACCGGGTGTACGATGGGTTGAAAATTCTACCACATGTCAACCGGGGTAAGACAGTAAGACAGTCGAGTCATTGCACTCGACAGCTATCTGTGCATCAGAATGGAACTTACGGAGGACGATTCCACCTGGAATCCAGATTGTCGCATTGACAGCCATCGGGGTCGTTTTGGATGCGTGTGTGTGTGTGTTTTCGTGGGCTCCGTAGGTTCCTTTCACATCCGCCTTGCAGGATGAACGAGTGCTGCGAGGTCTGCTCCAGCTCAGCACCTAAATTTTGGCAATGCGTTGACAACCTGTCGTGTTCAAGCTCTTGGGGCCGCAGCTTGTCCTCCCTCGTTCGTGGCCGTCGATTCTTTCATTTTCGTCCCGCTTCGTTGACCCTAGCAACACAAACCACTCCGGTGCCCCAAATTAGAGCAACGGCCAGCAGCCCTCCACGTGTCGGCGTGCAGGCGCCGACAGATGACATCCGACTC